GGTTGCGGCGTCATATTGAGATATATTCTCTATTTATAAAATGATATCGTATATTTTTGATGATTGATTTTTTTCTAGAATATGAAAAAGAAATCTAGATTTTTTTTCTTGGGATCGCTGATTTCTAAGATAAGAAAATTCTTATAAGAATTATTCTAGATTTTATAGATTTTTATTTTTATGAAATATAGAATGATATTTGAATTTACATATTCGAATAATCGAATATATATATATATATTTATATTTCAAAAAGATTTGGATCGACTCGTATTTTCATATAGGAATCTTTTCTTTAGATAGCTTTAGATATATTGATGATTAAGAAGATTGCGAAAATCATCTTATATATAAATTCTTATATCTAGAAATATATTCTAATATGAATCCTGATAGAATCTATATAATTTCTCTTATAAATTTTGATTTTCTAGATTCACGAATAGAATTTTTTCGATAATATTATAATCTAGATAAGATAATCTTTCTCTATATAGATATTTGAAGATAATCGAATATCTTTTATAGATATCGGCTGCTTGAAGAGATTCATTTATATATCTATTCTTGATATCTTTATTCGGATAGATGATGATGATATCATTTTTTCTATTTGATTCTATTCATTTTTTCGGATGATTTTCCTTTTCTCTTGGAATTTTGGAATGATTTCGATTGAATTATCATATATCAATATTTAAATATCACAAGAAATCTTGAGAGAAGATCTATTAATTAGATTTTCTAATATCAAAATATCTATATAAAAGAAAATCAAAATATCGATTTTTGCGATTTATATAAAATATTTTAGAAAGAAGAGAAGAAATAACGATATTTGAGATATATGAGATAATTATTATCCTATCATTATATCTAGAAAATATTGAAAAATATTTTCAGATATTCTCCATAATTTAGATTTCACTAATAGATTATAAGATAATATTCTATGCATCCATTTTTCATATTCTTTTAAATAGAGAATATAGATTTAATATGAATATTCATCATATATGATCAATAATATGATACGATAAATCATAGACATAATTTTTATGAATATAACGTTCGTTTTTGATATAATTTTCTAATCTTCTATCAAAATATCTTTTATAAAAAATCTTTAAATTTTAGAATCTTTCGGAAAAGAATAGTCTTATATTAAATCTTCTATTCAAAAGGAAGATCCCAATATTTCTATAATATTCCTCGATCTATCAGGGAATCGGAATGATAATCAATCTATCATTTTATAGATCTATCGAGCTCCCTCGATTTCTGAATATCATTTTCATGATCTATCAATCTATCAATCTCATGATCTATCGTCCTATGATTCTGGCAATCAATCTATCAGAATATCAATTTGAATATCTATCTTTTATCAAATCTTTCGATATCTCATTTTATCGATTTATATTCTCTGATATCTATCTATCTCTATATTTTTTGATTCTTCCAAATATCAATCTATCCATGAAATGATCTGAAAAAGATCTATTGATATATTAAGATTTCTATTAATTATCGATATATCAATCTATCAATCTCATGATCTTTATCTATCTCCATATCTAAAGATTTATCGAAAATTCAAGATGATCTATTCATCATTTTTTTATTAATATCATATTTGAAATATTTTCTAATTTCTATATATTCTCGATTTCTCCATCTAATAAGATATCGATTTATCAAATATAACGATCTATCTCTCTCTGATGATATCGTATTCGTCGATTATCGTATTTATCAATCGATCGGATTCTTAATCGATCGATTTATATTACTTTATATTATATCCCAAATTCTCATTCCTTCTATATAGAATAGAAAGATAAGATGATTTTCTCAATTAGAAAATTAATGAGATCATTTTGAATTAGAAATGAGATTATACCAATTTTTGAAATTTTTGAGAAATTTATATTTTGAAAATATTTTAGATCAGATAATTAGATAAACGAATAAATGATCAAATAAATCGATAGATATTCGAATAAATGAATCTATTTGGGAAAAAACTCATAGAATTCCAGAAAGATATATTTATTTTTTGAAATAATCTATATTCATTAAATAAATCAAAATAGAAAATCGATTTAGAATCCCTTGCTTTTTGATATCTTTATCATATATTATTTGCGATCTCGATCAATATTGATAAATACGAAATCATACGATCAAAGAAAGAAAAATCATATATGATAGATAAAATATGAATATATCAAATAAATTATAATAGATTAGATAAAGAATTTGATCAATTAATCTATATAATTAATCGGATGAATAATTTGCTTATATTAAATAAATGATATCAGAATATAATTTTAGATAGAAATAATTAATGACAAAATGAATGAGACGAATAGAATAAAATATAAATTTGAGAAATATATATAAATAGAGATCAATAAGAAAATGAAATTAGATAAATAAAGAAAAATCATTGACGAATAAATGAAAAGAAAAATGAATCTATATAATTAATATATAGAGAGGAAGATCAATAAATACAAATAAATAAGAAGAATCGCTAATTATTCAAATCTCAGAATCATTCTAAAAGAAAATTATGATTCGATATATCAAATGATGAAATTCGATGATATCCAGAAAATATCAGATTTTCCGTAATTCGATATGCTAATTCTTAATTCATCTATATCATTAGAAAAGGATTCTTTAAGAATCCGAACGATTCATAATTACGTCAGACGATAGAAATACTAATAGCTCAGAATAATATATCGTAAAATTTGATAATCCATCATATCATTGGATATAAATATGATAGATTTATAATGACAAATCGATAGATACGATCAAATCGAAAACTATAAAGATAGATAGATTTTAGAGATCATGCAATAAGAAATAGATGATTAAATAGATCGTACGCTCAAATAACCTCGTCGATAGATCGTTAGATTAATTCATTCTCAAATAGATTAAATTTGACTTAATAATAAATAGATAGAATTTCAAGATCATCAAATCGACAGATTATATAGAAGATAAATAGATAGATAGATAATTAAATCGACTAATAGATTCATAGATTGACAGACCATACGACTAGCAAACCATCCAACGACGGACCATATTACGGAGAGATTGATAGACCATTACCCTCATTTATTGACCATCATTCTGATTCCCCAGCGGAATACTAATTTGACTGACAGAATTATATAAATCTAGAACGGAAATTTTTTTGATTTATTCGGAATACTTAATAGAAATCAACCAAAACAGATTTCTTCAAGAATTTGAATCGACCAGATCTAGCCACGGATATTTATGAGATACTGAATAGAGAAGAGAGGGCAGCGCGCTGAATAATTTGGTAGACTTTAGAGCCTATAATTTTTCTGAAAGATCCTGAAAATTCGAATTTTTCAAGAATCTAGAGAATCTATAGAATTTTTTTTTTGCTAGAGAATCAGCTAAAATAGAGATATCTCTCATACGAGCATCGTAATACAAAGAAGACATATCTTATCTTGAGATATGAATATCTATCAATAAAACTATAATATAATTATATTCTCTATAAGAAAGTAATCCGCTTCTCTTTCAATATGAAATTTATTTTAAATATATAATTCTCTATATTTTTCTTTTATCAGAATATAATTCTCCAAATCTCATGAATATAGAAGAGATTTCAAATTAGAAATGTTTATGTCATTAATTAATTTTCTATCTCTATTTTTTTTTCATTCTTTTGGATCTTATAATTTCGAAATATAAAATTCTTCATCTAATCAATTCTTTCAAATCATCAGAAATCTATTTAGAAGATATATTATGAAATATTGAAAATCTTCTCATATAATTATCGACGAATAATAGAAGAACGATATCTAATATCAGATATCCAGAGCATATATTAAATTCCATACTCGCTTGAAGATTCATCAAAGATCCAACGTCCCACAAATATAAATAGAGACGACATCATCAATAAGAAAGATTCTATTCACTGAAATCTCTTATTAGAAATTTCTTAATTCCATATATCACCTATCGTCCTCGATCTCTATTGAGAACCATCCTGCTACATAATATCGAAGAAGAAATCTCAAGAAGAATAGAAAAATCCAAAAAGAAATTAGAAATAAATGATAGATTTTTCTTCTAGAATTTATTCATCAATAAATGCTTCTCAACTTTATGATAAGAATATATTAGTTTTCCTATTCATATCCTGCTATATTTTTTTCTAATTTCGAAAAGTAGGAAAATAAAATACAAAGAAATTAATTTCATTTTGCTCCATAAATTTCGAAATCTATATTAATTAAATACATTCTAAATTAAAAATTGAAAGAATTTAAGAAATGTAGAAATATCATAAAATTAAAACGAAGAAAATTCATTTCCAATATTTAATTAATCAAATTCGACAAATATATCGAATATCATTATTTTGATATACGATTTCGTCCGATATAGAAAATCTGCAATATCAATGATTTTCAGACCAAATGAAATCAGAAATAACATATCTCCATCGAAGAAGAAATTCAATAGATCCATTTTATGAATTCCCAATAACTTCTATATCCAATCAAAAATCTAATTCTTCGAGAATTCCACGATCTTTTCCAAAATCAAAGATTCCAAACCATTAGAATTTATATCTCATCCGTAATCTTCCGACCAAATAAAATCTGCCCAAACGTCCGAGAGTACGTTTCCCACAAAATCGATTGCCGCTTCATTTTCGGAAATAAAAATCTATTTTCGCTAAAATCTGATAGAAACTAACATTAGAATTCCTCCGTTATGTTCGGACTCCCAATTTCTTCAAATTGCCATATCATTTGTTTTTGGAGGTTCGAACGCATCATATCAATCTATAAAAATCTCTCATCCCAATATGAAGCTCCATTGTCAGAAGCCTGGAATCCATGAGCAATGATATGATTCAATGATATCTTTCTTGCAAATCTCAATCTTTTTGGAATCTTGCGTCGCTATTCGCTTCAAATTCGCAATAGGAGGACTCCACGCACGAGTTCCACCTGGCCAACACAGAGCTACAATCAATCTTTCCTATAAATCTAATAATATGGGTTCCTTATTAGGGACTATACTTGGGACTTTACCAAATGAAAAAAGGGACCCCTACTGTTGATACTAAAAACCCTGCATGGCCGTAGTATACTGTAGTACCATATAATTCCCAAGGTATAAGGTACTTAGGGTCATGCAGGATCTTTAGTATCCACCGTATGCCCACTGTGGGACCACTCATTGTTAGAACCCCTAAGCCCCAATCCCTAAACCCCATAAGTATAATCCCCATTCTCCTGGGACAAACTTGTTGGAACACTACTTGGAGGGTCAGGGGGACTTCGTAAGTAGGTTAATAACTCCTATAACCCATATAGTAACCCTAGTTATGACCCTTATCGACCTACTTACTAAGTCCCCATGACCCTCCAATTAAGCTCTGCGGCAAGCCTCTTTGAGGTGAACTGCCGGGCCTTCCCAGTCCTGCAGGCGCCTGGCGTACTAGGCCCACTGTGAACTACCTATACCACCCCCTATATAACCCCTATGTACCCCCTATATAGTATGTACCCCCATATAACCCCCCATATAACCCCAACCATAGGACGTCATAGAGAATCACTCCGGCGGCCTCTGGAGGCTTCCTCACAGCATTTGCCGCATATGATTCTCTGAAAATGCTCACACAAGTCTTCCCTCATCTTACTGGTGGCTAGAAGGGAATGTAGAAATGCATCCCTATAGTAGTCCGTCTGCAATCACTGTAATTTAGAATAATTTCAATTTCCTATTTAAGGCCATTATGGTACTATTCCCGATATAAACCACCATTTAGGGTGAGGTCGCTTTAAATTGCCCAGTGCAATCCCCTATAACATTCCGCAATCCCATTCCATCATTCCCTGCTAGCCATCAATAAGTCACAAGGTCCGAGGCCCGGGCCCCGACACGATGGCTGTGAACTTCCGCTTCACAGGTCCGAGATCCTTTCCCACCTTGCTGGTGCTGGAGAGAAAGCAGAAGGGTGGATCCTGTCATCATCCCCATATGTATCCGTTTTCCAACGCCTTTATTCACTCCGTCACTCCCGCGTACGTGAGTCTGCGCTGGCAGACGTCAAAAGCCCAGATAACAATTAAGTTGCGGGCCTCTCTGACATAGCATCTCTTTGTGTCTACCTGGGACCACGTATCCATTGAGTTCAAAGATACTCCAGATCCAAATGGACCTCCAGAATGAAGCGGGCGTTACGAGGGGCAGCGTACATCATGTGCCCAGCAGGTGCCTGTTTGCAAGCTCATGGTCAATGAGTATGTATGGCCGGATGCAGACACATCTTCGAGCATCCGGCTGCCGCAATGCAGGAGTACTTTTCTTCCTCTGCGCCAGGTTAAGCGAAACGTGGCAGATGCAATCCGTGGAGCTACGAACTAGGGGATGCCTCCTTGCCCAAGTCGATACCAATCTCCTCAACCTGCAGGCAGCGAAGCCTTTGGACAATTTGCCTATCTTGCTGGTTGCTAGTAGGGAGTTTACAGAGTGGAAAAGAAATCAACACAACGCTGCTGGCGATTGCTTATTCAAGGGATATTATGGGGATCCATGATTCCATTCCCTCTTAACCCTAAGTAGCCTAATCTTAGCCCTAAACCTTGAACAACTAGCTGGCTCTCGACGCCTCGTGGTCCTCCGGTGTGATGAGGAGGACGCGGTGTGCCTGCAAGAACACAACAATGCTTGCAAAGGGTTTTGGTGAGTTCGAAGTTTCTCAAGCTACCCTTACATAATCCTGACCAACCCATACTCCTACCATAATCCATGGTCCCTGAGGGGCCCCGATTTTGAGGAACCCCCAGAAGTTATAGTAACCACTACAAAATGTCAGTGATGGGAAAGTTCCAATTTTTTCCATTTCTTTCTTAACAACTCTGCCCTAAGTGCGACACCCTAAATCTTGCACACAAACCTCTAACACGAAACATCCCTTTGCAGTCGCTTCCATTGTCTTCTCCATTCCCAAACCCTGAGCACTAAACAATCAAGAATATGGTAATAACATAGTAGATTCCATTTTCTTTTGCAATTTCCATCTAATTTTCCATTTCTTACCACAAGCAACCACCAAACCTATAATCTTTGTGAGCCCTATATATGGTGATTTCCATGACTAGAGAGAGCCCAATATAGACCCCATCGGACCCCCAGAATGGGTACCCCTAGTATTGGGAACCCGAAATTTGACGAACGCCTACATAACCCCAGTTTCCATGTCATTTTCCATTTTTGCTTTTTTATTCTCCATTATAACTATTGGGGGGAATCTCCCGCCTAGATAACCCCAATCGTAGACCCCAAATCCTTAACAGTAGTTTCCAGTTTCTTTTCCATTATCCCAATGCATCCGCGATACCCCTAATGTTGCGAAGCCTCTGTACATACAATTTGTAATGCCTACATATAACCCCATCTTGCCCTTCATAATTGTCGTATACATGTACAACCCCGTATACTCCTGTATAATCCCCACATATGTATATACATATATATTTATAGAGAGAGAGCTCCAAGCTCCAAATCCCTAAATCCCAAATCCTTTATAGGTAGTTTCCCAAAATAAGGGGACCCCAATATAGACCTCCAAAATACTATAGTCCTTATTATTGGCACCCCTAAAATGTACCCCTAATTTTGGGAAACCCCAATCCCTATAATCCCCTATATAATCCCAGTGTCCATTTCATTTTCCATTTTCTTTTCCATTTGATTCTCCATTATAGTAACTAAAGGTACCCCTAATTTTGGGAAACCCCAAACCCTAAACCCTAAATAGTAATTTCCATTTTCTTTTCCATTATCCCTATATAATCTCCCTAAGCTCGTCTGTGGCCTCCAGCGGAGCGCAGTAGATCCGATTGTCAGGCCCCAGCGCGGCGCAAGCGTACTTAGCCTTCAGGGCAACGGACTGGTTTAGGATTTCGAGTTTAGGGATCGGGATCTAGGGATTAGGGTGTGGGGTTCAGGGAAATGGAACGCGGATTTACGTTTCTGGACACCGCAAGATATTCCTTATTCGAGTCTATAGTATTGAGTTCCTTACTAGGACATTATCCAAGATTTTCAGTTTACGGTCCTTACAGTACTTCGAACTGTAATTCGAGAGCCCTTCTTGGGCTGTAGTGCAATAAGAAATAAGAATCATGACCGACAGTGACACAGGGTAGTACGTCCTACGACCCCTAACCCTAAACCTAAACCCTCAACCCTAAAACCTAAATCCGCATGTGCATGTCAGGCCTCACCGTTGCCAATGACAGACCCGATGAGACGGTTGCCCTTAGCTTTTATGCAGGGCCTGGAGGCAGAGTAATGGGGAGATCTTGGGATAGCGGATAAGAAAATGGAGACTAACATTTGGGGTTTAGGGTTTAAGTTTGGGTCCCTCATGTCAGGATCGGAAATTATAGCGTGTTGGCGTCAATCTCCCCCCACATTTATAGAAACCACCTCTTGGCACAATGCTAAGTACCGGCCAGCTCAGCCAAGCGTCCTTGCCGGAAGTGCTTATCTCCAAGACCTGGTCAGCATACAGTGGCGGGGCCTCAGACGAGGAGCACATAATGCAAAGGTTAGGGACATTACCCCAATCCCAGGGTGGGTTTGGGGGCCCTATGAACGTTACTGTAAATCTTTTATGGCTTTCTAAGGATTGCATAGGGATAAAGAAGAATAACAATTGCAGGGTTTTCAAATCTAACCCTTAAACATGAAACGGAAAATGGGTTTATGACTGTGACAGGAACTGTTGCAGTCGTGATCAACATGCCTTGCGCACCAGTACACCACGCAATGAGGGCGAACTCTTGGCCACTGGCATATAATAGGCGGTTGGCGCCCTGGCAGATACCTCTGCGCAGCTTGGCAAAAGCAGTTCCAGAAATGGCCCTCCACACATGCTTCCGGGGAATCTTATCGTCACGATTCTGAGGAAACCATGTTATTCGCTTTGTATCCGTATCCAGGTCAGTTGATCTAAATCCTTCAGATCCTATACTGCCACTTTCCATTTCATTTTCCATATTCTTTTCCAAAGGATTCCAGGATGAACATAGCAACTCCCAAGCAATTTTCCATTTCATCCTCCATTATGGCACCTTAATCTGCATTCTCCTAAACCCTAAACCAGTAGTTTCCATGTTCTCTTCCCTTCTTCCCTATAGAACCCCAGTATGCTACAGTAACCCTAAATCCTAAACCCCTACAGCCTAAACCCCAAACCCCAAACCCTCAATCCTAAATCCTAAACCCTTTAAACCTAAATTCCTTTGTAGAAACCCAGGCTTAGGCAGCAGCAGCAGTATTTCCGGGGTGCCACATTGATGCCACCAAGATCTGGTGGCACCAGGCCTTAGCTTCATCAAATTTTTTCTGCGATCACTCCCACGCGGTTTAGGGCTTGGGGTTTAAGGAGTATATTGCGGACTTTCCAAAATTATTGATGCCCTTCTTTTGGGCTTTCCTATAAGAAGGATTTTCAAAGGATTTTCAATATTTTGGTCTATATTGAAGTCCCTGTTTAGGGAAGCTACCATTCTGCTTACTGGGGCTTATGGGGCATCTATGGGGATCATAATATAGGGATAGCTGTAGGAACCCAGCACCAGTACGTCTGAGGGTGATGACCTCTGAACCCTAAACCCTGAACCTTAAGCCATCAAGATCATTTAAACTTACCATTACTTAGGGTCTCCACATTTCCTTAATTTCAAACTTTCAAAATTCCGAGTCCGCCGCCCCCCCCCCCCAAACCCTACGTAACGGTAATAAACCCGGCACCAGTTACGTCTGAGGGTGCTGCTGACAGCGCCCGTGGGGTCTATGCGCAAGATCTGCCAAGCACTTGGAGGGTCAGGGCTCTTAGGAAGTAGGTGATTAACTCCTATGACCCATGTAGTGACCGTAGCTATCCCCCTTCTTCATCTACGTACTAACCCCCTGACCCTCCAAGCAGCTGCAAGGTTCCAACAGCATGGCCAGGGTAACAGGTGGGCACTCCAGGGGACGTGAGGGGTATACATGTATGCATGTAGATTTATATTGACATACATACGTATATCTAGATTTCTCTATATACCTGTAGAGACATACATATATATATATATATACATAGATATATGGGCAAATAGGTATATCGTTGTAAGTATAGATATAGACATATGAAGATAGGATATATAGGGTTCGGGGAAAACCTATGTCGAATAGGTGTTGGGGAAGTTGCATTTCTTCAAGAATTGGGGTGGGCCCTGGGGACCCCGCGGGTTGCAAAGGAACTTGCAGTACGGGCTCTTCACTGAGGATGGTCTGGTAGGATCTTCATTTGGGGGTTTCCCGAAACTAGGGGTACAAAGTTAAAGGGCGATATAGGGTCATATAGGGTCCATGTCGAGTTATATAGACGTACATAGGGTTTAGGGTTTCCAAAATTTTGGGGTACCTTTTTGGCGGGTCCCCATAATGAGGGTTAAAATATTTTGGGGTCTATATTGGGGTCCCCCTATTTACGGAAACTACCAAACTAACCCCAGTTTCCATTTCATTTTCCATTTGATTCTCCATTCTTGGGGGTAATATCCCTAAATCCTAAACCCTAAACCTTAAACCCTAAACCCTAGACCCTAAACCCTAAATCCTAAACCCTTACTAATATTACCCACTGGTCGCCTTGCTTGCGTTGTAGGGCGGAGCGAAGATGCTCCCATCACCAGCCACGATCGCGCAGCAGTATTTGCCTTGTTTTCAGCTCATCGAAAATGTGAATTTCCAAAAACATTGGTATTCTATGGGCTTTCCAGAGCTAAGACTCTTATGTATATGTATATATGTATGTATATACACATATGTATGTACATAAATATGTATCTACATCTATATATATATATATATTTAGACTGTTGGGATATTTCAGGGGGACCCCAATTTTGGAAACACGCCAAAATCAAGTTGGCCAGGCAAAATGCATGCGTTTTGGGTCAACCTGAGGGCAGCACCAGGTGTGGGTCCCAAGTCTGGTCCAACCTGGCGAGGAGTCGGTACTCTGCGGTACCATGTGATGGCACCATGTTCCACCCCCAGATCACATCTCACTGTTTTGATAGGATTTAGGCGTTTGGCATTGTACCAGGACCAATGATGTTCAAGGCTATGCGCCACACCGCATGCAGTAGACATAAGTCTGAACCCGCTGGCTCCCAGACCTTGCGAGTGGCGCCGCCGCGCACTGGATCAATCTCCATCACCTTGACGGAAGCATGGGCTTCAGACTCCAGAGTGCCTCTTCATCTAAAGCCCTCAGCCTATGAGGGTGAAATCGGGTCTTCTGAGTCAAAAACACCCTAAAAACTATGCACAACGTGTGCCCTACAATGTTACAGGTGTATGATGCTGCTTATGAGAAAGATCATGGCCACAACAGTGAGGATGATGATGACTCGTTTACGAAGATGAAGACAAAAAAGATGGCCACGATGATGCAGATGTCTCTCCGCATTCGCACGCTTTCCTCAACGCCCGTAGCCTTCTCAGCATGTTAGGCGAAATTCGGAGCAGGCTGGCATGTACTCAATGCAACGTTTTCCACACGAGACGTAGCCTTGCCCAACTTTTTGAGCGGGCACACGGAGCTCAGTGAGTGCAGAGATGGGTCTCTGATGACGAGCATTCGCACACAAGTATGATGCTGGCGGCAACGATTATCACGTCGGGCAAGTGATGAGAACGTCTGTTAGACGCGGAGGAGTATGGGACGAAGTAAAGCGCTGCACAAAGGATGGTGCCGGAACTTGTGGCAGGCTTACGGTAAGTTCATTTCGGCAATGACCATCATGATGTTGACGCTGGTGCTCAGGTCTTGGTGGATCAGAGGAGCGAGACGAAATCTACGTGCTGTAGCACAAGTGCGGAGCCAGCCGGAAGGTTTGCGCTTTCTTGATTCTCTGACAGGCTTGGATTGAATGCTTCTTATTGGGCTGGCGTATACTCCAGACCCTACATGGAACTTTCCATTTTCTTTTCCATGATCCCTTTATAACCGATATATAACCCCTTATATCTACTTTAAGATTTCAGCCTCAAGTTCTGCTTGAGAGTTGTGCCAAGTCCCATGGCACTTCATGACTGTGGATAGGCAGCACATGACAAGGACCTGGACTACAACTTTAGATTGAGTCATGACTCCCTAAGCTGGGGTGGAACGCCCTAGGGGTATGGGTTGTATATGAAGATCGGATCTGTGCACAATCATGTGCACAGACTATTTTAGCTATCGTCTTATCTCCGAGTATCCCCCTAAATAAATATCCCCTCTCAAACTCACCCACATAGCCCCCTGTAAGGAGCTTAGACTCTAGCTCGTTTGCGCAGGATAAGCTCTGACAAGCAAGATACGCTCCACGTGTGCATGCAGAGCTCAGGATTGCAAGCGCGTAGTCCTATAGTAATATCATAACATAGTCATATAGTAAGATGGTACTACAGTACTATCATAGGATAGTAGCATACTAACATACTAATCTGAGGAAATGTTCAGGCCTCCAACACAAACAGATCTTCTTACCCAAATATCCGGGGACTGTCCAGCATGAAAAGACCAACCTTGTTATAACAATACCTATAATTTGGGTCCGGCACCCACCCATTAACAGTCTATAACAGGGTAACCTTACGGGCTATACGTAGTTCAAGAATAGCCATATCCAGCTGTTAATGCGCGGGGGCAGTACCCAAGTTAGCGCCGCTGTAACCCTACATAATCCTTGTAGTTTCCATTCTCTTTTCCATTATCCCCATGTAACCCTAATGTTCAAAATATCTCTATTGGATCCCTGAGTGATGTGGCAGGCGATGCTGTTGCTAGATCCGTGCCCGCTTCTAGATGGAACACCCAGATAGAGGGTTTAGGGTCTCGCAATAATGGGTTGAAGGATGTTGAAGGGTATTACCCCAATAATACTGGGTTTAAGGATATTTCCCCTAGAAACATTCTAGAAAAAAGTGGGGCCTTTTCTAGGGGTCCGGTACGAAGGATTTTAGCATTCGCTTCATGGCCCTGAAGGAGGGTGACAGCAGCTTGGGGCCCCAGCGTGGCGGGCATCCCATGGGATTGCATAGATCTTCAGGGTCTCAGCACGCAGAGTCAATCTGTTTCCAGAACTTAGGTGCCGCATTCTTGGAGTTCTAAAATCATGAACCACATCATTTGAGCACATATATGGGTCCCAGCTCTGGTAACATCGGCATGCTTCTGGTCTGACAAGGAAATCTGCCAAGGCGAAGACGATAGGTGAAGCGATTGTGACCCACCACTCCCCCTGCACAACAAACAGCAAAAAAAAGCAAGGCAGAAAATTCAACCGCTGAGAGTGTCTCGAAATACTAATGTCGGAGTTTCTCAAAATTACGCCGACAGAATCCTTAAAAACCGTTGATGCTGAAGACTCTGCATGACCGTAGTATGCTGTAGTACCATGATTTTCAAGAGGTCATACAGGGCTTTTAGTATCCCCCATCGTCTCTGAGAGTCCCCTAACCAGGTGCACGGGCGCCTGTTCGGACTTTGCAAGACGTGGGCCGACTTCATTCACAATACCTGCTTTGGGGTTTAGGGGTTCAATGGTTTCAGGGTCGCATGTTTAGGGATTCATTTCTGATACCTTATAAAGAAATATGGGGTGCATTGGTTGGCCGTATTGGGGTCATATTACATTCGCGCGAAAATGATCTGTTTCCTACTTGGCGCTCCTTTGCATGCATACGATGTTGAAGGTCC